AAGTTCTCCCCTACACCGATTCCCTGTCAGAGCAGAGTCGGGAAATTAATTTTCCGTTTTACCTACTACTTCTTGAAAGAGAACGAAAAACGTTGTGGTGGATAAACGGAAGAAGAGAAAACTTGGAATAAAAGAGGAAGACAAGTGGAAAGAAGGATCGTCAACGATCGTAGACGGTGTCGGGGAACCGGAATCGGTGATCAGACTATCCGGGGGACAAGCGTTTTATACGGAGAAAAAGCCAAGACAGGAAGGAAGATAGGGAGAAGGGGAGGAAAAAGAAGAAAGAGACAGAGGGAAAAGAGAGGGAAATTGGCGTAAGAAAGTTTGCGAGGATCGCGTGCGAAAGTAAAATTGGCGAGCGCGAAAGAGAAAAGTTGGCGAAAAGATAATTAAACTGGAATCATGCGACGCGATTCGACGAGACACGGATCGAAGATTGGACGAATGGAAGTAAAAAAGGGGAAAAGAATAAATAATCGTTGGGCGAGGAAGGAGGATTCGTTGTAACCCTGTTGGCGACTGGTCTGGCCACCGTTGGAACGCTACGCGTTTCTTCGAACGTTAATTCGAGGGAATAGCTATCGAGGGAATAGCGTGGTAACGCGAGGATCTGCGAAAAGAGAGCATCATCGGTCGGGACACGGTGGTGGACGCAACGCGTGATATCGATCGTTCTCGTAATCGGTATCGACGACACACGCGCGTTTCGATTCGACGAATACGACGAGTACGAGGAATACGTTTGCTCGAGTAACGAAGGACTCTTTGCTCGAGAAATTGGAATCAGCGGAGAGCAACGAGCACGGGAAATTCTTTCTAGTTTGGTTCAGGGAACGATCGAATATGGAAATCGCAGCCTCTGCAATGTTGGATGGCCTGAAAAACAATCGAATCAGCAAGTTGGCACTGTCGCGGTTCTTGTCGCAGAGTCTGTGAGTAAATTAACTCGGCCGTCCGTCGAGCACGTAATCGATTCGACGTGGTACGAGTAACCAGGATGCTAGAAAGCATCGGCACGTAGCGCGCGCACTAATTGATTGCTTGGCTTTTTTATGCTTCTAACGCGTTTCATCGCCATCTAGGCAATTAGTTTCACGACATACGCATTGCCGACCATCTTTCTTGGTCATTTGTCGCGCGCACTTGCTTGTCGCTGCTCTGAAACTGATTATCCACGCGCGAATCGTTGGCGTTCTCGCGATAGGCTCGCGCGATTATGGGCGCCTGCACCAACTCTCTTGGATCCGCTTCGTCCTTTTCCTCCTTTACGCTTTCGTAGTCGCGCCAAACCGTTCAGTCAAACTTTCTTCACCAACTTCTCCGACCATGCGAAACATTTCGAGCAAACGAGCACGAATCTTTCTAATCCGATCTTGTTTTTCCTCGTCGATTATCCAACGCGATACGATTCCGTGTTTTCCGTTTCTCCATCTTTATGCCCGACTATTGGTTCAGTCGGCAAATTTCTCCGCGTGATTTTTCTTTTTATTTTCGTCTAGTCGCGTCTACCATGTTAAAACCTGAGACGTTGACGGGCACGAGATTAGCGATAGGAATAACGGAAAGAAGAAATCGCTCGGTAACGAAGAGAAATTACAGAGGAAGGGCGGAAGGGTGAAGAGAGAGATATGGAGTTAATGAAAACAGCGTATGGGAAGAAAGAACGGGTGAGTGCGAGAGAGAGAGAGAGAGAGAGAGAGAGAGAGAGAGAGAGGGGGGGAGAGGGGGAGAGTGAAGAGGAGGAGGAAGAGGAGGCAAGTAGACAAGAAGAAAAAAAAATGTCTTCTCGATTTGCAAATCATTCGTACAGTTTATCGATCTTTTCGTTGGCGCAAAGAGAACGCGTCGTGATAAATCGTATGTTTACGTTACTCGAGACGATAGGTGTCCATCGTATCGAAAGAGCGTGGACACGATGTATCGAAGAAGACAAATTATCGCGTAACATCGCGATTCATTTCCAAGGACTCTACGATTCGTCGTGAACCACGTACGGTCTCTTCGGGAGCGAAATCGCAACCGGTACATCTGGAATACGCAACGTGGTAAACGAAAAGGAATTAACGCCATCGAAACGCGTGACTCTCGATATTTCGATTCGCGTAAGTATAAGACGAGATCAACGAATGAAAATCATTTGGTCCATTCATATTCCAAATGCTCGTGGCGATGGGTCTCCTAAACGGGACACCTGTGTCTATCATCTGGTTCGGTCAGTTAAACGACACGAGGGCTTGCTTGCGCACGCGCCTGCAACCCATTTTCATTTCTTTTAATTCTCATTCGAGGTTTTTTCCTGACAACGAAGATACGAGTAATTGAAAGGACACCGGAGCTGGCCCACTTTGTTTAACGATGCCTCGGGCTTTTTCTAAACAAAGGAAGAGCAGGGGCAACCGTCGATCGAAGTCGTCGTTTCGACGATTCATCCGGCTTTCCCTCGCGTACATCAAAAATCGGAAATTTTCCGACTCGTCGTACGATTTTTGTTCTTTGTCCTTTCGTTCTCGTTGGTTGCGTCGATTTCGCGGGAGGATCGATACGAGAAAACTTTTGAAACCGCGATGAACGTGTGAGATACCGAATCCAAGATTCGCACAGTAGGATACTCGATGGAAAATCCAGAAAGTCCGATATCTATCGCCGACGAAACGAGATATCGATCATGTATAGCGCAACCCATCGGTGATAGCTAACGTCTCAAAGCAAATTTAAGGGAAAACTCGATTCGGGATGAAATAAAGATTTTATGAAAAGTGATAACGGATCAAAGATGGAGAAAGTAGTCAAGGGAACAGCGAGCGAAACGGTTTGGTTGTGCAAGGGTCAGAATGACAGTAGTAGAGGTGGTGGTGGTGGTGGTGGTAGTGGCGGTGGTGGTGGCGGTAGTGGCGGTGGTGGTGGCGGTGGTGGTGGTAGTGGTGGTGGTGGTGGTGCCGGTGGCGGTAGCGGTAGTGGTGGTGGTAGTGGTAGTAGTAGTAGTAGTAGTAGTAGTAGTGGTATTAATAGTAGTAATAGTAATAAGCCGATAGTAGTGGCGGAAGTGATGGTAGTGGTGGTAGTGATTGTGGTGGGACTGATGGTGGTGGTAGCGGCAGTGGTAGTAATGGTAGTGGTGGTAGTGAGAGTGGGAGTAGAAGTAACGATGGTGGCGGTAGCGGTGGCGGTGGTGTCGGTGTTGGTGTTGGTGGCGACGATGATAGCAAGATGGTGATTTTAATGTCGATAGCGGAGGTGGTGTTGGTGATGATGGTGGTAGTCGCGGTGAAAGGGGTTAAGCATAATGGCATTGGGTGGGGACGTAAGTAACCGTGATGGCGATGAAATTGCGGAGAGAGGGGCTTAGGGGAAATGGTATCGAGAGAAAGGGTTGGCGATGGTGGTGGCGACGATGGTGATAATATCGGTGGAAGGGATGTCAGATACAGCGGGAGTGGCGGCGCTGGTAAAGGTAGTGGTAAAGGCAGATGTAGAGGGTAAGGCTACAGCACGGTAGTGTGGCACAGCCATGGCGGGGAGGTTGAACAGGGAGTGGGTTGGTCTGAGTTAAAAGAAAAGAGACGAAGAAAGGGACGAGAGAAGGGAAAAGAGGGGCACGAGCGTTTGATCCCTGGTGCGTAGGAGAAGTTTCCTATGGCGTCCGGAACACTCCTTTGGCGAGCAGCGAGGTGGCGCCAATGTGTCGAAGGCCTGAAAGCATCGATGCGTATGCAACCAGGGCTTTTCTGCCCAGGAGAAAAGTTTAGTCGGTGATGCGACGCGGTTGTGGTTAGAAGGAGGGGACCACGCGCGTTTTTCGCGCGAAAGCGAACACGGTGCGTTTCGATTTTTCCTCTTGGATCGTTCGACACGAAATTTTCGCAACGCGTTCTCGTTTCAATCTATCGCCTCGATTTATGGTTCACCGGTTTATGGTTTACGATTGACAATTTATTGGTGACGGTTCACGGCTGACAGTTTACAGCTTACTGCATACAGCTTACGGCTTACCTACGCCTTATGGCTTACGGCTTACGGCTTACGGCTTATGGCTCTCGGCTCACGGCTTTCGGAATTCACGCTAGACCGCTAGCTTTTTTTCTTCGTCTTTGTCTTCGTCTTCGTCTTCGTCTTCGGCCACTACGAGACCTCGCTCGATTGGTTTCGTCCTTGGATTATGCCACCTACGCTCGGTGTGTTTTGTATCCTCTGCTGATTTTCCATCATTCGAACGGTTCGTCCACTTTCTATCGAGAACGTTGAAAAAAGTCGATGAACGGCTCGAGTTCGCGAGGAAAATAGAAGCGAAGAAAGCCGGCATAAAAAATACGCGATTGTGCGCGGGGGACAGCAAACGGTTGCTAACGTGGATGCGAACCAGGCCGGTATAATTGGAAAAGCGATAAGCGTGTACGACGTGCCGCTTGTCGATCGTTAACGTCCTATCTCGTTCCTACCTCATTCCTACCTACTACCTCGTATCTCGTTTCGATCCGCGTTCTTTGAATGCGTAAACCGAGTAACAGGTGGCTAACGAGTCGTAGATTTTCAGTGGCCAAGATTTTCACTTTCGACAGTGACAATCGCGAATCCAAAGAGTATATACGAATAAACGATCGTGTTTTCAATTGATTACTAGCCGAATAGTATCTTCTTCGTCTCGTATAGCGCGATACGATCCGATACGATGCGACATCGTGTCATACCGCTTCGTGGCACGTCCTCTTTACGCTGCTGATCATATTTTTAGCTATAATTCTATCTCCCGTACTATTTATCCTTCGAGTTTTCCTTCGTTTATCACCTTTCAATTTTTTAACGCCTTTTACCGCGAACCTGTCGCTTTCCTCTATCTTTCCTCCTTCTCTCCCTCTTCAATTTCCAATCCCTTTTAAGAAGAAAGTTCTTCGAATACCGACGTGATTTCGGAAAATGCAGTTGTCTATAGCGATATTTGCGAAAATCATGGCGATCGGTAATTTGTCGCGAGATTATCGGTGTCACGTCTTACGGTTAAGATTCGCGTTGGAGGAGGTAACGTTATTCGGTCATACGTGTACGCGTCGGAAGATAAACGAAATTTCGACTTTTCCATATCGGACAATGAAATGGGATTCGACGAAGGAACGGTGTGTTTGCATTTTCTCGTAAAATTTATAGTCCGCGTGTAGTATATCGACTAGGAACCTGTTGCTTGGATATTCTTCGGCATTGACCGAGCCGCATCACGGCCAGGAACTCTTACCTTTGTCGTGCGCGTGCGTTTCGATCGATCGCCTCGCTCGTAATTTCCTTCCGAGCCAAGAGCTGACTTTCTCGTAACCACAGTACGCGACGAAAGGGAATCTTTTACGGGAAAATGGTTGCACGATACGCCGTTTTGCAAAGTCAAAATTATACGTTGTTCAATGATTTTGATCAACATAGTTACTATCGGTGGATCGAACGGAATTCCATGGCCCTTGGACGATTTCGAATATCGAATTTAAGAGAGAACGAAGCTGAGAGTTGGACAAAGGATAGCAGATAGAGGGGGAGTACGAGACGCGTAGATCGATAGATAAAGAGAAAGAGCGCGATAAAATAAAAAATCACTGGTATAAAAATCGCTTAATCGCTACTAAACGGAAGAGTATGCGTGTCCAGCGAGATGCGCGCGCCGTATCTATCGACCTTCGCGAACGCCATTGCCACGTGCGCGACCTAATATATCCCTGATTGGCTTCGGAATTTGTCCTCCGTTTCTCGAATATCTATAATATCGCAGGACTCGGCCTGGAATGGTACGCGAATCGATAACGACTAATTAATTTCGTTCGCCAAGCCTTATAACCGTTGTTGCTACCAGCAATGTCGTATACGCGACGATAACGATGGTGATAACGATGATTGATAGAAAAAAAAAAAAAAAAAAAAA